AAGGCTTGCAATTGTGCAGTCACACGTGTTGAATTTTACACACCTGAGTATTCCAATAGAAGTCAAAGAGGCTACCCATAGGCATAAATGTATATATCAAACCAGAAAATATAGCTATGTGCATATATCAATCCAATTACTCAACAAGATCAAGTTCTTTTTTGTCCACATTTTTAGAGAGGTTTGTTACTTGGCTGAGTCCTTGAATGCCAGACATAACCCTAGATCAATTTACAAGGTCTAGTTATAAAAGGGCATACAGATATAATCTTAGCTATTACAGCATAAGCAGTTGCACTCCAATATTGAAAAGTTCATCTTAGAGTTGAAGGGTGAACACGGATAGCCATCTTTCCTGACACTTCCAGGCAAAGGGAAAACACAACATCAATTTCAACCATAATCCTGGTGGAACAAACAAATTTAAAAAGAGACATTAGTCTCAAAACAAATTCTATTTGGTGTGCTCCAGATTTAGGTTTTTAATTAATATCTCTATATTTCCTCCTTGAGAGATATAAAATGGGTGAATCTGCTTTCCACATCCATATTGTATACAACTTGTCATGAAATTGTAAATTTTTGTGCTTGGCTTCTGGCATCTTCTTTGTAGAGAAACCACATTAATTTTCATTGCCACTTTATGACAGATTCAAGCTGCCTAGACTTAGATGACATTATTAAAAAATGTGTGTGGCTCTTTTATTTTTGAACAAATAGCTGATTGAAATTAAATGTGGAATGTGAATACAGTCATTTGGCTAATCTATCCAAGTAACAAACTGATGCTATGGTGTTGCAAAGGACTACCAAGCACTGGGCCCATGGGCTAGTGAAGAACAAGCACGTTGGGGCATGTCCTCAGAGATTATCATGGGAATACAGAGAGCCCTGAATTTACCACAGAGAAAGTTAGTCACCTGCCTTCCAGGGTGCTTCCAGATGGCAGCTACTAGAATAGGAAAGATTCAAAGGGGACGAAATGAATAGAGAAAAGTTGAAAGTGGGAGCAGCAGGAATACGTATAATGGGGGCGTGGGAACAAGTCATGGTAATACATTTCACTTTCTTTGGGTATTTTTAACACAGTAAAAAGTCAAGGAGTATTGTTTTAGCTGGAGACAGTCCCAAGTTTATTTAATCCTTTTATGACTTAAATGTGCTTAGAAAAATCATTAAAGACATCAAAGTTGATGGATGGAGGTTCTGAGTAAACATCTCAAAAGCACAAGGCCTCTACCTGGATAGGCTGATCTGGAAAGTGCCTGAGTGCACAGTTTAAACTTTAACTTCATCAGAGCACATCGGGATAGTGTGATGGGGAAGAAAACACAGAATTAGCCTTCTGGGATAAGGAGAATTCATACTCGTTGACAAGGATTGGACAGTTATTGGAACCCCATCACCAGAATGATGAGAGTGGAGACCCCAGGAATAGGTCAGAGGCCTGGGAGAACCTGAGGCTCTGGGTGATCAGGAGGGTGAGTGTTGCCAATGGGCCCTGTCACAAAGGAAAGGGGGTGAGAGTGGGGCAAATATCCCACCAGATTGCTCCTGGTGTGAATACCTGTGGGGTGAGACAGGATTAGGGGGGTGATCCTGGCCCACCAATCTAATTTTTGTGGGTGGAGAATGGGTGGACCCCATAAAGGGATCCTGGAGAACCACCTTGGGGGCAAAGAAGGACTCAAGGAGAGCAGCACCTCTAATAAAGGATGAGAACCTGTGGAATAAGAAACTTCTCCACCAGACAAAAGGGGGAGGTGTGTGACAGAGTGCTGAGAACCAGCAGCTGAACCAGCACTCTGGTCACTGTAAATCCAGTTAGTTCCCCTGGAGAGGGCCTGATTGAGGGACGGAGTGGCTAATTACTAGATCAACCTGGGCTGGGGAGAGCAAAGGAACTAATTAGCTCATTAACAGCAAGAGTAGAAAAGGAGCACAGGAAGAAAGTGCAGGATAATGAGAGAGAGAGAGAGGTGGGTCAGCAGCGTCAGGGTAAAGGGAGATCTCTGCATGGACAGATCTCTTCTCTCTGGCAAAAGGGGATGATGAGTGTATGACACTGTACCTAGAATTGCTGCACGGGATTGTAAGAGAGTAGTGGTGGATTGAACACAACATACACAGTGGTGGTTACAAACCGGAGGTGTGTCAGCCATTTGTGCAGGAAGACAGGAGCCAAGAACAGCTCCCTGTCACAGATAAATTATGACTTTAGGCACAACCCTGAGCCGGGGTGGAAGATAAGCTGTGGAATCGTAGAATCACAGAATATCAGGGTTGGAAGGGAGCTCAGGAGGTCATCTAGTCCAACCCCCTGCTTAAAGCAGGACCAATCCCCAACTAAATCATCCCAGTCAGGGCTTTGTCAAGCCAGGCCTTAAAAACCTCTAAGGAAGGAGATTACACCACCTCCCCAGGTAACCCATTCCAGTGCTTCACCACCCTCCTAGTGAAAACGTTTTTCCTAATATCCAACCTAAACCTCCCCCACTGCAACTTGAGACCATTACTCTTTGTTCTGTCACCTGGCACCACTGAGAACAGTCTAGATCCATCCTCTTTGGAACCCCCTTTCAGGTAGTCAAAAGCAGTTGTCAAATCCCCCCTCATTCTTCTCTTCTGCAGACTAAACAATCCCAGTTCCCTCAGCTTCTCCTCATAAATCATGTGCTCCAGCCCCCTAATCATTTTTGTTGCCCCCGCTGGACTCTTTCCAATTTTTCCACGTTGTAACACATCCTTCTTGTAGTGTGGGGCACAAAACTGGACACAGTACTCCAGATGAGCCTCACCAATGCTGAATAGAGGGGAATAATTATGTCCCTTGATCTGCTGGCAATGCTCCTACTTATACAGCCCAAAATGCCATTGGCCTTCTTGGCAAAAAGGGCACACTGTTGACTCATATCCAGCTTCTCGTCCACTGTAACCCCTAGGTCCTTTTCTGCAGTAGCCCCAGAAAGCACTGCATCCCACAGGCACCCCCGTGAGTCACGTTTCTCTCCCTACTTCCCCCTTTCTCTGGTGGAAGCTGGTAATGCTGTTAACCTTTGTAGCCTTATCTATAGTTATGGGTTACTTTAACCAGTTACGCACCCGAAGGTGAGGGTTGACACCTACTTTAATCTATGAGAGTTCAGCCCCCAAGATTGACTACAGTAGTGAGGTTATCAATGGAAGGGGGGGGGGAGGTCTATGATGCAAACAGAGACTACATAGTTCTCTTTCTATAATAATTACTTTTATTAGCCAACCAAACAATACACACACTGCGATCTGGTAAAGGAGAGAGAGACCAATACAGAATGCATAATATTTCCATTACTCACAACAGGCCTTGCAGAAATGTTAGTCCCCATCCTCATCACCAGTGGTCGGCATCCTGGTGTCTCCTCTTTGCACCAGGGCACCAAGCCCGGGATACAGCTTTTTGAATGTGTTACGCTGACAGTCATCAGGCTTCATACATATTTGTGAAGGTTTTTCCTTTTCCTTATTTGACCCCAATACTTTTGGGGTGCCCCATTTTTCATAGGCTAACTTGATAATTCCCCTTACACTCAATACCATTTTCACCACCGTATCACCACAGTAACAAGCAGTTGGTTACCTTAAGGAAGTCTCTAACATTTCACCCCAGCTACCAATGGTCATCTTGTGGTGTCTGTCTATGTGTAGGCATTATTATCCAAACTCAGCAGTTATTTTCAAAACATCAGCATATCACAAACAGACAAGCTCAGCAGGTTTATTATTAATTTACTTATGCTAACTTATTCTAAATCCTAAGGCTTAATTTGGCTAAGCTAAATATCTTACAGGCCTGAGGCCTGTAGGCCCTGTGTTACAACATTAATTAATACTTATATTTCACCTCTGTATTCTGATACCTGATACCTTTTATCCTTGGCTACACCTTCAAGTTACATGAATTGGAAATTGCAAAAACAGGAACAGTATTCCCAAATTCTACCCTGACCCTACCACTGGCTCGCTGTGAGAGCAACTTAACTTCTATTCTTCAAGAATGTGGGATGGATGGCTGTATTTTGGAAAGCACTGACTGAGGAAAGGACTTAGTAGCCAAGGTGGATAATCAACTGAACGTTAGCTCACAGTTTGATGTGGTGGCTAAGAAAGCAAATTATATCCTTGGGTGTGTACGCAGGGGGATATTGAGTAGCAGTAGGGAGCTGTTACCACCACTGCATATAGCATAAATGAAACCATTACTGTACTGTTCAAGTTCTGGTGCTGTACTTTTAAAAGGATGTTGAAAATTGAAAAAGCTTCAGAGAACATCTACAACAATGATTCAAGGTCTGAAAAACTGTCTTACAGTGAGAGACAAAGGAAACACAATCTATTTAGATTTTCCCAGAGAAGGTTGAGAGGTTATTTGCTCATAGTTTGTAATTACCTCCATGGGGAGAATATTTTTGATAGTAGAGAGCTCCTTAATCTAGCAGACAAAGGCATACCAAGATGCAATGGCTTGAAACTGAGGCAAGACCACTTCAGACTAGAAATTAGGAGGAGCTGTTTTATAGTGAGAGTAGTTGACCACTTGGTGAAATTCTATGATTTGTGTTCTGCAAGAAGTCTGCCTAGGTAGTCATAAGGGCCCCTGCCTGCTGGCTTTATAATCCATGAATTGATGGGCTGAATTTTCTATGGTTAAACTAATGCAAACTGACTGATTTAAATGGGAGAATTTGGCTCTATATATTTTTGGTTACACATCACAAAAATGGGGGAAATAATATCTATTTCAGAGGACTATTGTTGGTCTTAATTTATAATGTTCATAAATAACTTTGAGAACTACAAACAAAAGGAGTAGAGACATGCCCAGTGCTCTTCTTCTCATTCCTCTCCTGTGGCTAGTTGGTGAATAGTCACTCAGAAAGGAATAGCACTTGAAGGAGTAAAATGGTTTCTCGTGGGTTATGTGTAAACAGCTATTAATTTTCTTTTTTTCCCCCCCTCTCCAGAATGATTACAAAAAATTGTCTATGCAATGCAAGGATTTTGTAGTTGGACTCCTCGATTTGTGCAGAAATACTGAAGAAGTGGAAGCTATTTTGAATGGAGATGTGGAGATGAGCCATAATAGTGGAGAACATGGTCGTCCCAGCCTTAGCCGCTTAAAACTTGCCATTAAGTATGAAGTCAAAAAAGTAAGCCCTGGTATTAATAAAATAGTAGTTTAAATGAGTGGCAGTGTTATTAACTCATATTACCATTCATTATTTGTATTATGGCAGCACCCAGAGGCTCCAATCAGGATCCAGGTCCCATTGCACTGAATGCTGTGCACGCATACAGTAAAAGAGAGTCCCTGCCCCAAAGTACTTACTGTCTTAATTAAAAACAGAGATAAAAGGTGTATGCAGCACACAAGGAGGTAACAGTAATAGTAACATATGGTTACTTGAACTAGCTGTGTACATTATTCGCAGGTTTTGCATTTATTTATTTAACCAATGAGAGATAATTAATCCATCTTCTAAAACAAAATCATTGGATACAGTTAATTAAAATGTACAATGTAGCATATTGGCCCTATAATAATAAATACATCTTTATGTCAAACTATTCACAGAGGATTTGCCTCCTGAGAAAGGCCAATTTTTATTTGCTCTAGGAAATTTGAAAGACATATGCAAAACTAGGTAGCTTACAAAATACCAGAATGTATCAGCATCAGTCGTCTGATGATCAGTCTGGAAGCCATGCATAGGCTCCAGCTTGGTAAAAACCATGGCCACCAATCTCCTCAATGACCTGAGCTGGAATGAATATGTCATCTCCATGCTATGGCCCCTTCATCAGCTCTTAGTTCACTTCTGTTGCCAATTTAAGGCCTTGGTCTGGATCTTGAATGCACTCAGTAAGTCAGGACCCAACTACATTAGTAGCTGCTTCTCCACCTTTACTTATTTGGATAACTATGCTTCTCTTGGACAGTGAAGCTCATAATGTCCAGGACGAAGTGTGTGTGAACCAGAGATAAAGTATTTTTAGTAAAGGGGATTTACCTGTTGAATTAACTTCCAAAGGAGATTAGACTAATGCAGAATCTGACCATTTTCAGAGCAAGCCGCAAGACCTATGATAAAGCTTTCCCACCATGACAAAAAGAATTACATCTGCACAGTGAAAAACACATAAAACTCACCAACATCCAATAACAAAGAAAGGTAGAAGAGATGGAATTCTATGAAGTCCAATAGGGACCCACTGTACCCATCCAGTTTACCTGGGCAGAAATAGAGTCATTTTCTGCAGATCTAATTGACCTGTTTCTTTTGGAAAATCCTAAAATAGTTAGGTGTATACATGGTATGCATGGATGGAATTTGAACTGTTATTGAACAATGTCTCCTACATATTAAACATGGAGGAGTTTTATTTCATAATTAGTCATTTACTCTCTCTACTTACCCCTATTTTTTTTCTTTAGCAGACATCAGTTCTGATTTTGTCACCTTTAATTTGGAAAACTTCCGTTGTAAAACTCTGAGTTCTTGAGTAAATATTACAGGTTTGGGCTGATAGTTTCTTACAGACCAGGCAAAGTAAATCCCATCATCCATTTATACCTCCGTTTCCAGTATACCTTTTACAATGTCACAGAGCTTGGATGGGAAAAAAGGGCTGTGTTCTACACTTCCCAGTTTTACAGAATTGGTCTACATGACCTGGTTGCCATAGCATGATTAAGAACAATTAGTGACTGCCTGCACCAGTAACTGCTGTTCCTCGTTTTCAATAAAAGAACTGATATTTTTCATGTGAACATTTTGTGTATTCCTCGTTTCATGACTGAAAATTGTATATTGTCATCTATAGTACAGGACACAAAGGCAACAACTTTTAGGGTGTCAGAAATGAGAGCATCAGGAATATAAATGTCAGCAGACTTTGTAGCTATTCCCAGTACAATGAACTGGGAACAGATATATTTATATTTTAAAAAAGAGAAAGACACACCCTACCAACTCTCCCCCGCCCCCACTCCACTGCACATACTTTTCCATCTGGGGAGAGCACAAGCAACACATGACAGATGTGTAGTCACCTTGCTTAATGCACTACGAGGAAGTGCTCAGATATCTCGGTGATGAGCATGGTTTAAAAGCCTGAATAGAATAGAATAGATCCAGTTAGTTCCTGTGCATTATGCTCAGATTGAGGTTGATTCTTTGTTACTGAATACTGTCTAAATGCCATAGTAATATCTTTAAAATAATGGTAAATGATAGCCACTAATAATTAGTATTTATAATGTGGACTGCTCAATTTATGACTTCTTTAATGCCTTTCATGGTCCTGGATTTTCTAGAGCTAGATGGAGAATCTGTACCCATTTGAAACGCGAATGTTGAAATATCACGTGTACAATTTGTAAAATTAAGGTTAAATAAGTGACTATAGTGTTTGGAAACTCATGTTGTGCTATACTATATAATCCATATGCTCATACTACAGTTTAGAACATCCAGGGGAAAAAGGTGTGTCCATGTAAGTACATGCTTGTGACTTCTGCTTGCCTAGGAGAGGTACACTGACTTTACATATATTTTATACTCTCCTCCAGGAGTGTTGTATGTGAGACAGGAGGTAATTGTCCTATTCTGTACTCAACACTGGTGAGGTGTCAGATGGAGTACTGTGTCTGGTTTGGGGCACCACACTAAGAAAGATACGGACAAATTAGAGTGAGTGCAGAGGAGAGCAACAAAAATGCTAAAAAGTTGAGAAACCATGACCTATGAGGAATGGTTAGAAAGACTGGGTATAAAGAGGTTGGTGATCAGTTGTTCTCCATGTTCATTGACGGTAGGACAAGAGGTAATGGGCTTCATCTACAGTGAGGGACATTTAGGTTAGATATTAGGAAAAACTTCCTAACTATAAGGGCAGTTAATACTGGAATAGGCTTCTAATGGAGGTTGTGGAACCCCTGTCATTGAAGGTTTGTAAAAACAGCTTTTTAAGAACAGACAAACATTGTTTAGGGATGGTCTTGGTATACTTGGTCCAGCCTTAGTCCATGGGGATGGACTAGATGACCTCTGAAGTTCCCTTCCAGCCCTACGTTGCTCTGATTCTGCATGATTCACTTTTAATTGTATTTTGATGACACATTTTCTTGGCATAAAGTCTTTTGTGAAAAATTGCAGTATAATAATCACCGGCATGAAAGGATTACCCATAGAATTGTGATTTTTTTTCTCAACCTGAATTATTTTGAGGGATGCAGGGATCTCACATTCCTAAAATTATTCACATTGGAACCTCTTGGTGTAGGAAGACTCCATAGTGACCCCGATGCCAGGCCAGATCCAGATGCCACTGAAGTCAATGGCAACATTCCCATAGACTGTAATGGGACCAGGATTTAGATTGCTGTTTTAAAATTCATTAAACTCATCAGTATTCTCACTTTGCAATAAAATAGCATTTAAACTGTGAATAGAGCAATTCGATTCAGTGTCTCATTTCTTATTTTTTTTTCCTTTTCACATGATTATATCGCAATGAAATAATATAAGACAGTGTTGACATACATTTGAGATGAAGTTAAAGGCATAGGCAAAGGCATTCTGTTGAAATGTGAACAGGTGAAATGAAATTTCCCCTAGTTTGAAGAATGAGTTGGGGTTTTTTTAAGTTTTAACTAGCCACACAGACTCCAGTGTGACTTTAGGACCAGTTTAGCCAAAATTCCTGCCATGAATAGCAGTGTGCCTACATTCTAGGGAGATTATGCTTATCATAAAGAGCAGATTGCTATTTTATACTACTATACACTCTGATAGTGTTCTGAATATTAGCTGACTTGTTTTTCCTACACTCTACATCCATTTCAGATGGCTAACGTTTTATTTAGTGGTATTCTGACAATAATGTTCCTTTGTTGTGTTCCTTTTTTTTTTTTTTTGTCATAGTTTGTAGCACATCCAAACTGCCAGCAACAACTTCTCTCAATCTGGTATGAGAATCTCTCAGGTTTACGCCAGCAGACCATGGCAGTGAAGTTTCTAGTTGTTCTTGCAGTTGCAGTAGGGCTGCCATTCCTGTCAGTGGTTTATTGGATTGCTCCATGCAGCAAGGTTAGTCTGTACAGTCTTGTAAAAGCATCTGCATGCAAGTTTCTAATTTGGCAAAGATGAAACATATGTATAAATTACTGATGCGCTTAGCAAAGCTTCAGTGGTGTGTTATTTAATGCCAGATTGTAATGGAATAGCTGCAGGATTACACACTCAAACATTCACAATAAAAAAAAGTAAATGCATCATGTGGAATATAATGAATACTAAATGAAAAAATGATCAGGGAGGGAAGGAAGTATTGCCATGTAGAAACAGTAATATCGAAACAATGAATCAAAGTACTCTCCATTTTGTTGCCGTGCTGTTAAATAAATATATAATAGCTAGATTATTTAACAAAAACTAATTAATACATTTATGGGGCTTGATGGAACATTACAAAAAAATGAAATACTCGTTTAGTGAGAAATTGCCCATCAGAGTATTCAGACAGTGATAGTAAGCACTGCAATTAGCAGGTTTTCTTTCTTCTCCCTTGTGTTATCCAGGTTGCCAGCTATTTACAAATGGGAATATGTTTATTATTCATAGAAAAATATGTGGCCCTGATTCTGAGAGATACTGAGGGCCCTTCATGCCATTCAAATAAAATAAAGATAGGAACCAAATCATAACTGCATGTCAGAATAACATAATCCTCTTAAATTCACATCAAGCTAACACTACCGTCATTAGAACCACCTTTAACTAAAATTCAGAATTAAAACCACTTAGCTAGCTACCATCTTACGATTTCACACAGGATAAAATGTCACCTTTGTTTATATTTACTGCCCACAAATCACCAATACAAATTGTCCAAATATCTGCCCAACATAGATGTGCATATGTCTGAAATGAATGATCTTCATGTGTTCCATTAATGTAGTGCGGTGTCAATCCATTGAAGTGAATTAAACTATTCTGGGTACACTGGTGTAACTGAACTGAATTTAGCATGATGTATTTTGAATGGAATTAAGGTTTGTATAAGAAAGCTATACACAATGGATGAAATCCTGACCCCCATTGGTGTCAGTGGGGTCAGGATTTCACCCTTACAGTGTGGGCCTTCTCCACAGCCTTGACATGAAAAGATCCCTGGGATGAGCTGATGAAAGGCCTTAGAAAATTCAAACCACTTTTTAACACTGACACAATAAATTCTGTTGTTACCGAGAAAGCTGTGCTTAAATGACCATCTGATTGCATCTCTCACTGTACAACCTGAGGGCTTGTCAAGATAATGTTAAGGCTCATTTCATCTCATGAATTTTTTCAAAGCAGCCACATGGTCTTTTCTGTGTGTATTAACAAAACACTGTTACTTCGATTTGGCTTCTAGAGCTGAATGTCAGTTTGGATGATCCATGTTGCAGAATCAATTTCCGACATAGATATGCCCAAACTCTCCCATCCCCTAGAATTTTGCTTTTGTTTAGAATATCTATTTTAGCTGGTCACTGATTCAAAGTTTCCACCCTGGGGTATTTTAGTTCTCCTGTTGTCATAACAGGTAAAGGGGACATTGTAAATTTAAAATTATACATTGTAAATAAACAAATGTATTATGATTAACAACTTAGATTTTTAAAAGTATATCCAGTTTCCTTAACTTGTTTGTTTGTTTGTTTATTTAATTGCATTTCTCTCAGCCTGGACAATAAAATTCAATTTAGTCTGTTCCATTTTTGTTTATAGTCTCGTTGGTTTTTATAAAACTTTTGTCTTTAAATATGCCTTCAGATTCATGCTGCTTCAGGGTTTGAAACATTGCAGGGAAGTGTGTATTTATTGTTTGGTTTTTGTTGTTGTTTAAAGTCCTTCTTTTTATTGGATTGTAAAATCGTTTTGATTGGTCTTTGGTTTTAGAAAATCTGTTTCTGCATAGCTTTTTTTGTCCAGCTTCAGTTGACAGCATCCCTTTAAAATTTAACCTCTGTTCTCTTTTACAACTGTCTCCCCTCCTTGTGATATAGCTGTTTAATGATTGTGTTACATTTTCTACTGTGAATGGGCAAGTTGGCCCATCCCTTTCTAACTGTTATAGTTGTTGCTGTGCTTCATCTTTATTTTAGAGACATGCCTCTTCGTTTTTAATCATTAAAATAAAAATTACCTCCTTCGAGACCAAATTGGAGTTTTCCTCTCCTAGCAGGGGATTTACCCTTGAAAACTAAAGGTACCAGAGCAGTTCCAGGGGACTGAGAAACAGAATATTGTTCTTCTGACAGACCGATCTATGAATGGGTGGATGGAATTTTGTAACACTTTTGTCTTCCACTATCTATGAAGTGGCCTCTAAGGCATCTTTTCTGGCTTTTATCTTATGGGTCACCTTGGTTTATAGATGTCCCACAACAGCTGAAGGGAGAGGGAAAATGACCACAGCACATCCGGTGAAAATCCCAGCTTGAGTCTGATTCTTTATGACACAGAGATTTTTGAAATTCTTATGCCATGGCTGTGAGAGAGGCAAAGGAATAGTTATTCAATCCATTGTTCTATTTCAAGGGGCAGACAGTTTAGTTAATCTGAGTCACCTCCACCCAGTTGCTGAATTGAGTATCTCCTATTGTGAGGAAATTTTTTTATGTTGCTGATAAAATTGAGTGAATTTGGTCAGAATTGCCCAACTCCCTGGAAATAAAGCAGATATTTGAGGGGGAAAAGTCACATTTTCTTTGCTTGACTTTCAGCCAGTGTCCCTTTCTGAAGTGTAGAAAGTGCTGGGAACACTTCAGCCATCAACTTGCGCTTGAGACTGATATTGTTGGCTTGTGAAGGCCAGTGGAGAAGTACTATTGCCCTGTATCATTTTTAATTGAGAATATCAAAAAGGTTCAAGTGAGACAGCCCTCAGTATCTGCTCATATCTGAGACCACTATTCTCAGGGTGGTATAACGTAACTACATCTCCAGTCTGAGGGTGATTTATGTGTATGTGAAGCTGGTAGGAGAGTTAGTGAGGAGACATAGGCTCTGGTGTCTTCAGTATAGAGATGACACACAACTTTATACCTCCATCTCCACTGATACAGCTGGAGTGGTCATTTACATTTCTCAGTGTCTAGGTGAGATTGGGCCATGGATGAGGGTAAACTGGCTGAGACTCAATCCAGACAAGTTGGAGGTGATGCTGGTTGGCTGAGGGAAGCAATTGGAAGATGTGACAGGAGAGCATGTGTCCTGCATTTGTGGATTGGATTCCCAGTAGGAGGGTCCAGTTAGACACCCAGCTGCTCACAGAGGAGCCAGTTGCAGTTATGACTTGGTCAGCTTTCCTTCATTTCCAGATGACCTGGAGGCTATGCCCATTTATTTCAGCTGTGGTCCTTCTAACTGTCATTCATCCCTTTCTCACCTTGAAATTAGAGTGACATACTCTGCATGAGGCTACAATTTAAATCCATCCACGGAATGCAGCTGGTGCAGGTTTTGGCACTTGCTTTTAAGTGGTGTGTCATTTTGTGAGCATATTAAACTAGTGCTCTCTGATCTCCATTTGCTGTTTTTTGGTTTCCAGGTTGATTTTTAAGGTACTTATTTTTTCCAATAAAACCTTCTGGCACCTGCCTATCTCAGAGGCGATATCCCTCCCTGTGACATAGTCCCACAGTTGCAGTCAGTGGAGGCACCTAAGAAGGAGCTTTTTGGTACAGGAGAGGAAGGCTGGTCCATTGGCTAGGGCATTAACCTGGGAATTTGAGATATGGGTTCAAGTCTCTACTTTTCCATAGACTTCCTGTCTGATAGTGAGCAAGACACTTAGGCCCAGATTTTTAAAGATATTTAGGAGTTGTGGTACTCAGCATTGCAATGTATAACTAATTTAGGACCCTAAAACTCATTTCCAAAAGGGCTCTGGTCACTTCAGAATCAAAATCTCAGTGACAGTAGATGGGATTTAGGCTCCAAAGTGTCTAACTCCCTTTTGAGACTAGGATTTAGACTCGTAAATCAGTTAGATGTTGCAACGATGAGTGAAGCAGTGCCTAAATACATTTAAAAATCTGGCCCTTAGCCTCTCTGTGCCTCAGTTTCCCACCTCTAAAATGGGGATAAATAGAACTCCTTACCTCACATAAAAGATTGTGAGGCATTCAGATATTACAGTAATGGGCACCACATAAGTACCTTAGATATCTAGGGCATTCTTTGTTAGGTCCCTGTAACTTTAGAACCCAATTTTCCACCAAATCTATACGTAACCGCCCATGTTTGTTAACCTTCATGGCACACTTGGCTGTAGGGAACTGAAGGATAGGGCAGGTTGGAGATTCCAGTGCTGAGTTTGATGGTGGAGTTTATTATGTGTTTATGTTCACACTGTTTCTGGGGTAGAGTCATCCGTGAGTAAATGCCAGTCTGTTAAAGGATTAATTGTATTTTCAAGAGTTTGTCAAGGGCTTGGAGTAGGTGCTCTTTTAGGTAGTTAGTACAAACGTAAGTCAATAAATAAGTTGTGGTCTATTGACTATGGCATCTTTAGAAAAAAAGAAAGTTACTTACAGATGGGCACTTCAAACGTTCATTCTGCTTTTAGATATATTACTGGTTCCAGTGTTATTTTCTCTATTCAGAATGGAGAACATAGCAAAAATATCTCCAGAACCAAAGTGAATTTTTCAAGTGTGCCCACTCTGCCTGTATCTCTTGTCCTCAGATGATTGGTTTTACTGGATTACCAACACCTCTGAGAGCTCTGGATGTTCCCACCTGCTTTGTGCTGGAAGCTTGGGAATATTGATCCTTGTAAATGATGTCAGGACAGAACAGCAAGTAGAGCTAGATTGTAAGCTCTATGGGGTAGGGACAATGTTTGGGACTTGAGGGTGCTATTGTAATAAAAATGCATGATGATGATAGTGATTTCCTTTGGTTCGGGATGTTTATATATACCTTCTAAAATTCTGTGCTAAAAGTTTTAAAGTTTCTTCCCCCATAAATATGGATCTTTCTTCTGTCGTGTTTGGTAGCATGAGCCATTATGAGGAAAGGATCTTTTTGCTTTGTTT